CTCCCAATGGACTTACGATCCGCAAGGTTAGGCTTCGGTAGATCAAAGTCCGCTGGAATTAGTATGTGTGTTTGTGTCCCAGTTTAAGACGAGGGTTGATTGCATTCGGAATTTGATCACCTTACCGCACGTCAGCAGATGGCATCTTACAGGTGACTCCCACAAAACACTGTTGTAGCCTTGGAGAGCTTTATGGAACGCCAGGTGTACGCCTCGAGACATTCCAATTACTGAATGTGGTTTTGATGCCATGTGGGAGAACAGCTAACGTAAAGTGTTTCCAATCCTCTTTACCGGCCCTCCTGTCGTTGCAAAACAGCGTGGCGTTGCGGACATCACCTCCTGTATGACATTTCGGGAGAAACCCACGTCTCAGTAACACCCATAAAATGGGTATAGGTGTCCTAACTTAGTTATTGCAGTTTATCGAGTTAATTCGGCAAACTGCGCATTTGTATAGATGTAATTTATGCTACCTACTTGCTAAGCAGTTTCTGAACCCTCTTCATCGTCCCACTGGCTTTCTATTTCCTCAGACGTGTGGGCTGGGGGCGTGCCTAACTGCGGCTTATCAGTGGCGTGTTTCCTGCTCCTCCCCTGCCCTTTTATCCAAGCGGTCTTCCAGAAGTACGGCTAGCTCGACCTCTTTCTGTTTTCGTTGCAGCCTCTCGTTCTGCAACCTACTAGGAGGCATGGGAACACCAGTTGGCAGGAGATTTCTGTTCACCCAAAACGCCTCCACTGTGCCATCTGAAAGGTCGGACGAACCACTTAGATCAACCTTCACCCAGGGCCACCACACTTATTGGGGACGCTTAGGACGCGCCGTTGTTATCCCTCCAAGGTTCACAGCATTCTTAAGGAACTTCCACTTTCATAATAATGGTCACAAAAATAATAATATATTTCGTACAAAATAAGTTACATGAATACAATCCGGTTTACAGGCTTGACCATTTTGGTAGTGAGAAATGGCTGTTATGTACAATGTTAAGCTATACATTAAGTACCGTTATTCACGGCACATAAGAGGCGCGTCTAGAAAAAGAACTTTATTACTTCGCAGGCAGCAAAGGATAAAACAGACAAACAACATAATTGTTCATCATACTGAAGCAAGCTGAGATAGAAAATAGTAGTCATCCGGTTATTGTTTAGATCTTCCAAAATTCTTGAAGGTAGGGTGGGTAGTGCAGCCATGAGCTTAAAGCGTGTGCGTTCGTCATAGTTTTGGTGGTATGGTGTACGCTGACAAATTCGATTTCTAGGATCCCGTATGGATGGAGGACTGGTTAGGTAGACCTGAAAAATGAACAACGAAGGCGAGCGGCAGGCGAAATTTGAAACAGGAGCACCAAAATGCTATCCGGAAGTATATCAACCATGATACATCTGGGTGATTTTTTGTACTGACTACAAAAGCTACTTGAAGAAGTACCCGAAACCTACTGTTCGGAGGCAAGATTATGGGGAAGAAGATGAAGGTGCTCACGAAAGTGGTGGAAACGATACTGAAGCCAAAGATATCACTGTGGAATAGAGAGGTCAGAGGATTTTGGACCAGGTATTCGCTTATGCTTTGAAAACCTGTGTACAAAAGTTTGATGAAGTTATAAACATTCAAATAAAACTCGCGGATTTTGCTAAGATGGTAACCACACTTTATATAGTCATGGGGGAGGGATGATCATAGCGTTGCCTGTTGAGTGTTACCATATCAGGGCTATGGAGACAATATGGTGGTGCAGAGTGCTTACGCGTAAGCACTGACAACAAAGGGCAAATAGTAGAACATGACGCATGCTAAAAAGATCCACCGACAAACAGTTCATTTATCAGTCAGGGGTGAAGAGATTGCTTTAAGGGAAGAACTTTACGGAATGGGTGTCAAGTCTAGAGATCAGTTAGATTATGGAGAAACGGAGGTTACGGCAGTGTAGCTACAGAGTACACTGTTGCAAATCTTATCACACTCCGCTTCCTGTCTACTCCAGGCAGACTTTTTTCGTAGATTAGATTTTGTCTTAACTAATGCGCCTGGTTTCCGGCATTGTATACTGTTGTCATTGCTGTTACTCTCCACTGAGTCTAGGTACCAGCAGCACCATTATGCATGGTATTACCGTTTGTGATTTGGCTGTCAACGAAATGGTGAGAATCGTTAGATAGGAGTAATTCACTAAGTAATCATTGAGACTGGCCGAGGGATCGACATGCTAGTAAAGAAGCTGGAAGTTTGTTCCAGAGCGTACCGTATTGCGTTATGGAAAACCTACACCGAAGTTTTGAATGGAATGTTGTGTACGCTACTGCGCAGACCATATGCCGGTGTCGACTCAGAAGCAATAGCACAGTTAGTCTTAGGTTTTCCAAAAAAGGACGAAAAAGAAAGGTTGGGTTGAGCTGCAGGCGTCTCAGCCAGAATGATTCTAGTTTCGGTTTTGCATCTTGCTTCGTTAGGAAGTCCTTCGTCAAACACTAGTTGGCACCGAGTGAAGTTTTGTTGTATGTTCTCTACTCGAACTCTATCATATACTTTCATGTTACCATAGATAACTGTGCAATACTCTAATGCTGGGCGAGCCATAACTTTGTATAGTATAAGTTTTGCCTCAGGTGTATGTTTCTGTGTAGAAGACCAATGAGTCTTCTCCCTCTTGAAACTATTGAATCTGCATACTCCTTAAAAGTCAAACTCCTGGAGTAAGTGATTCCGAGGTCTTTCACAGTGTTGTATATCTGCAGTGCGATGTCACCCAAGTATAGTGTTACTTCTGGGTGGGATTTATTGAAATGGAGGATACCACTTTCATTTGGGTTCAGAGGGAGCTGCCAGGTCACGCTCCATGTGAACATCCTCTTCAGATCTTCTTGTATTCGGGAGAAACGTTGCGTTAGTGCTGCAGGGGAAAAGCTGTAGACTATCTTCAAGTTATCTGCGAAAAGGCAAGGTGTGCCATTTCGGATATCGCTACAGACATCTTTTACATAGATTTGAAAAAGTAACGGCCCCAGCACACTACCCTGGACGACACCACTTTGTATAGGTCTAGGGTAGAAGTAGAGATTACTGAATTTTACTACTTGGAAGCGACCCTCTAACGATGTTATAAGCCAGGACAATAACGAATCTTGAAAACCACATGATTGCAACTTGGTGACCAGGCGTTTGTGAGGCACCCTATCGAATGCTCGTTTGAAGTCTAAGAAAGGGTTTGTTACAGATAGGCCTTGGTCACGCTTGCTTGTAATGTCGTCTAGATAGTCAAGGTGGCCGGTAGCGCATTACCGGCCTTCCAAGAATCCATGTTGTGCTGGCGAGAGTTATTGGTTTGTCGTCATGTAGTTTTCATCAAACTAATGCTTAGGACTTTCTCGTCAGGCTGATACTGAAAAGAAAAGAGAAAGGAAAGCGCAAGGAGAGACTGGACAATGGAATACCACGTAAAACGAACTGGGAGGAGAGGAGTTCTTGTCTTTTTAAGGTCGTTCGAACTACATGTAAACTTTAATTTATTCATATGAGAATGAATCTTCCTTTTTTTCTTATATGAAGTTCACACGAGTTATCAGATAGGCAGTTTTTGTTGGTAAACTTAGAGGGAACACTGGTTACGTGTTTGTACTGCGCAATCCGACCAGATGGACTAGTAATCAAACACCCTTTGTGGGTTCATTGAAGTAAAAAGTACTTGAGATTTATAGGAGTGCCGCAGGGCGCTGTCCTAGGTTCCCTGCTGTTTCTCCTATCCATAGGTGACCTGCCAAATATCACGAAATCTTCTGTGTTTCTCTAGGCTGATGATGTAAAAATCCGGTGGGAAATTAGGAACGATGGGGATATACGTGCGCTTCAGGCAGGCCTGAACAGCTTGCTTACCTGGTCAGATAACTGGCCGATACCTATCAGTGCAGGTAAATGTGTGAGCGCGCACTTGGGGCACATGCTCAGCAACACCTACGTTATCGATGGAACTCCCCTACTGAGTACTAACCCACAATGACCTAGGAATTGCAGTGAGTTGTGACTTGAGAACCGCATCCCACTGTCGATTGGTAAAAGCTCGGAGTTTTAGGACTCTCCGGGCATTATGGAGAACGTTTACGAAAATAAGTGGTGACATGTTCACCCTCTCGTACACATCCTAAATCAGAAAACTGTACACAGGGGGCTAACCCTTGTCTAGAAGGTGGCGCAGACCTTCAAAAAAGAGCTCAGAGCGCAGCCACTCGTATGATCCCTGCGATGGCTGGCCTCACCCATGAAGACGGACTTAAGGACCTGAATCTCTTCACATTATCCTATCGCAGGCAGAGGGGAGACCTAATCACGCTAAACAAGATCCTAAGAAATGACTTCGAACCTGATCAATCTTCTCCTTTCACTTACACTAGATCGGAACACTTCAGAGGACATAGTAGGAGGCTACAAAAGGAAAGAAAGAACATAGCCTCCGCAGAGTACTGGGTCTCGCGTCGAGTAATCAACGCCTGGAACCGACTCCCAGAAGAAGTGGTATACGCATCATCAATTGGTCTGTTCAAAAGTGGGTTGGACAAGCACATAAATCTACTGGAAAAGGATTAATATAGGCTCCCAGCCTCGTATCCCCAAACAACAAATCCGAAATCTGAATCTGGTTTCTCCATTCCTTTCGTCCCACTTTTTCAATTTGCTCTATCCCATTTCCTCTCCCTCTTTCTCACTGAACATCTGGTCATTCTCCCCAACTTATAATTACAGCTAGTCAGAACAATTTTATGGTTATGTGAGTAATGAGGAACCCATGTGCACCACAGACCTTGAACGAATCATTCAAGCTCTACAAGTTTCGTCAGCACCTAACTACCCATCAGGTATACCGTAGTTATACCAGACGACTGGGTAGACAAACTCCATCGGAACCCAAAAAAGATATGTAACCGTTTGGTAAGATGAAGAAACGAGCACGAGGAAAGCAATCGGTTTATACAAGCTAGTAAACATATATTGAGTATTCAGTACCGATACGACCTTGAATCGGATAATGCGTCTAGATTAAACACCATTTTATGCCGAAGAAACTTGGAACATGCCCGAAAGCACAGGAGGCTCGAGAAAGACGAGCTGAAAAGAAGCGTGAAGAGCGGGAACAGATAATAAAAAAAGCGGAGGATGAATATTGGAAAGATGAAGACAAGCACGTCAGTAGGAAGCAACAGCGGAAAGTATGTTAGGTTGTTACTCATGTTTAATACACTGTAGGAGGAAAAGGATTCGAAGCGTCTGGAGCAGTTGGAGAAGAAAAAGGAAAAGGAGAAGCTGTACAATGAAGAACTTGCAACTTTTAAGTCAGCCAAACCTTCTGGGATCAAAGAGCAGCCGTCGAAGTTAACACAAGCACAAGTTGCTGCAGCTCGGGCGAAACTGGACTCGCAATTATCTGCTCTGAGTAAAAGCTCTCAGAAAGTTGAATCTGAAGAGCTAGCTCCTAATCCGAATCGGAGTGAGATGGATGTCTTGGAAGCCCGTACTGTTGAAGAAGCTATCTCAATCCTAAGGTATTCATTTCTGTCCGATTTTGAGATACATTTAATCACTTTTTCGGTCCAGACAGAGTATATTTAAAAGAGCTTAGTGTTATCCACTTGTACTTAGTTTTAAATGTTTGCAACTCCTAGTCTCGTTTGTTTTGTGTTGATAACTAGACGGCATACTGAGACCTACAAGTTCCTGTTCATGTAATTTTCCTCGATTTTGCTAAGGCCTTTAATACAGTCTCACACACCAATCTCATTCGCAAAACATTAAGGTTGGATGTCAGTGTTCAAGTGCTTTCCTAGCTACAAGACTACTTAGACGATAGAGAATTCGGCACAAAAGTCGACAGGGTTTGCTTGACTTCATCTGGTGTATATTAAGCAGTGATTCGGAGTCCGCTGATATTCCTTCTTCTTGTGAACTACCTTCCATTAAATCTGAGCTCCACGATTCTACTTTACGCTGACGACGTTAAGTTTTGGAGAGCTGTGACACTCGAAACAGAATCAAGTTCGCTGGAAGTGATCTCAGATTAATTGCAAAGTGAGTGGATATTAATGGACTAGCATTTAACCTGAATAAATACCGAACCATATTTCTCTGCACCCCTGACTCTCAGAAAGCACTCTATTCTCTCTATGGAACACAACTTTCTCACCACCACGGAGAAAGACGTGGGACTTAAACCCACCGACAAACCAGACACCAGCTCCAGTTGTTAAGAAGATGCCTCCAAAGCCCATGTAGTATTGTACTTCATGCGCAGACACCCGGGTGCCCCCACCCCGGAACTCGAAACTGTACAAGGCCTACATGCGATCTCATTTAGAGATAACGTTATTGCACTGCAGCTGAAAAGAGATATAAACCTCCTGGAGAAAGTCCAAAAGGGAGTAACGAAGGGTGTCGTGGGGATGAGGCGAAAACCATATCAGGACAGGCTGAAAGATCTAGGACTGTACTCCGTAAGCTAGTGTAGGTTAAGTGGCGACTTGATAGCGGCTTACAAAATACTCTAGCCCAAATCGTCCGAACAGTGGAATCCTACCGGACGGCCACTGTGGCGGTCCTTGTTGTAACCCAAGGACAATCCCCCACTGAAGGGAAAAAACCTGCTTGCGTTCACACTTCTCTCCGTGAGTTTGCAGCCACTGGCGCGCATTACCTTTCGAGTATGCCACTGCTCAGTTTGTTGGGAACTTCAAGAAGAGGCTGGAGAGCGACGTGGAGTTTGGCTCATCCAACTAGAATGCGGTCTAGGTCGACACAACCCACTACTTCACTACGGCCAGCCTATTATCGAATGATTTGTAACACCACTATCACTGCGAACTTGGCTCAACCTTATACTTCCCTGTAGACCTCCGCTTTAGTTAGCGTCTCCTACTAATAGAATTACTATTTCTATTCCCACAAGCCGTCCTTTAATCTCACTTGCTCCTTCTCTTCCCTCTGACTTTATGGTCTCAACCTATTTATTAAAGTTCTCTCTATCACTTTCTACCATAAATCTACCCGGGGATCTCCTTCCGTTCAACTTCCTGTCGTGTTTTGTTTTTCTTCGCACTTCCTCCTCCTTGATTTCCCTGAACATCTTTTCTATCTTCTTTTTACAACCAGTCCGACGAACTATTTGATGGCACGACACTTAAGGATCCCATCTGCACCACAATACTTGGAAAAATCACAATCCCTACAAATATGATCAACACCCAACCGCCAACCAGAGCTGCAGCAGGCGAGTGGGTAGATCGATTACATCGGAATCCACCAAAGATGTGAAACCGTTCTGCGAGACCTGGAAGCGAGTGTAAATTAATCAATAGGTTTACACTAGCTCGTAAAAAGATATTGGATCGGATAACTTTCAGATGTCTCTGATTTTAGCTTGGAAATTAACTTAATATCCATGTGGCAACTTTCTACGTTTTTCTTAGCTTATCAATATGCTGGCTGATGTCAGTCGTTATACGTCGGTTTGTATAGTTCTGAGTCGATCGTTGGTACATGTGTTTAATTTATCCCCCTATCGATGCCTAGTTGTTCACATATATTCATATATGTACATCTCATTCTCAACACGTTTCATTTTCCACTGAAAGGTTTGTGGCCTGAAATCTCTTCAGCTATATAATTTGGTCACGTCATTATTTCTATCTTGATGGGTCTAGTTACGATGCCGCAGAGTTTTCAAAATGTAGATAACTTTTGTGACTATCCAATAAAGTATGAAACTCGCCCAAATCCATACATCGGAGTATACTGTTGTCTTGATATAATATGATGAAAAACTTGATGTTCTGTACTTCGTTGGACAACTTAATTATCGTGGAAGAGAGTCTTATTTCTGTCCTTACAAATTTCATGAATATTTGTTTGGTTCACTTTCTTTACATCGCTACAGTACTTGTTTTGGTTTCTGGAACTGCACTTAGGTACTCAACCGTAGTACAATAAAGGTTTAGATTTCTGTTTTAGCGAGTCTCATGAATAGCTTCCGAATACCTTCCTGGATTTTCGAATCTGTCACTGTGTACATGTGCACAACTGGTTTTCTAACACCTTGCTTCTGTGTGTGTGGTTCAGTTCAGTTTGAATTACTTCTATCTGTTATCACTGATAGCTACTGCTCCCATTTCGGCTTTCCAAACGTTTCTTGTACTTTTTCGCCTTTGGAACTTGCGTGAACTAACGGAAGTTAAGAAGTTGCAGAAAACGTGTGCAGGTGAATATTTTTAAATAGCTAATCGTTTCAAGCTACTTTTTGTTGCCATGATAACTTGTAAGTGCAACTTTGGGGGTTATCCCGATAACTACCACTAACTATAATAGGTCTCTATCATTTGCTGCTTCTTGATTTGTAGAGTACATAACACTGATTTGAGAATAAAGTATATGACGTTTCTGGTCAAACTTCATAATCACCAACTTCGTCTAATTGATGGGCAGCCTTTTCTGTTCTTTCACTGGGAAAACCCATCGAATGGGTGCGAAATTGATTACAAAAATATAACCATTTGAGGACACTTTAACCACATCAAGAAATTGAGAGGTTGCATGTTGGCATCAAGATTTTGGTAGGCAAATGGTTGATACCTGTTATCCCAAAGGGGGATAGTCAGGAAAGTTTTAAGTCTTCAAACTTACGAATTAGTTTATTACACTGAGATATGTACCTGTATATTGTTAAATACTTCGTTTTTGAGAGGGCATCGAGCAAACATTCCATTTCTGTATGTCATAGTCGTTAAAGTGGCAGAAATAAGTGGACTACAGATTTTTGATCGTATCTGCCGGGTGGTCGCTGGTTCGAGTCCGGTCGCGGTCCAGATTTTCATCTCTCCTTCAATCACCACCCAGTACAAATACTAGTCTGCCGAACTACGGCTATCTTAGATAGTCAAATCATAATATATATAATTTTTTCTGTTAATATGTCATGGTAAACAACTTACTTCTTGACTAAATCACCCTTCTGTTTTTTTCCCTAGTGTGGATAATGATGGTGATGCTGATCGACATCCAGAAAAACGTTAAAGGCTGCTTATCTAGCATTTGAAGAGCGTATGATGCCTCAACTGAAAGCTGAAAATCCATCTATGCGACATTCACAGCTAAAACAGTTGATATTCAAAATGTTCCAGACATCTCCAGAAAATCCAAAAAACCATCAAAGTGCTTGTCATGTTACTAAATGAGTTAATTAATACATAAAGATATATCTTATTTATTATCCAAAAAACCGTTGTTTAAAGTTTTCTAACTGCATTTAGATGTCGAAAAAAAGCAGAATACTAACAGATATTTAACTTTTAAAATCACTACTTGACCTAGTATTTTAGCATAAAACTCGATTTTTTTGGTGCTTTTCTCGTAAACTAATTGCATGAATACATTAAAATAGAAAAGTGTAAGCAAGCACTGATTATTGCGGCACCGATACAGCCAGTGTATGAAGTTACTTCTTTTGTTTTAGTCTGTGTAAGGGAGTTAAATGTAATTATTCCGAAAGGTAAAATAAGAAATGACATGACTTAGAAATAACCACAACAGTGTGGGTATGCTCGTTCAAACCACTTTTACGTCGTCCTATATATTCCATTTCACACCAGTGTCTTTCATTTGCTTATGCAAATATCCCGACCCAAGAAATAAGGTGAGGCTTATGAAGTAGTAGTAGTGTTGATGAAGGAAGAGTACAAGCTTTTTAAACAAATTGTACATTCATGCTGTTAATACCGATATCAAAGATGAAGCCTCTAAACTCAATCCATTTAAAGGCTCACTGGTGTTTGTAAGTTGTTATATATCAAATGTAAAGATCCGAAATTTATTGTTTCTTCGTTTTCAAACCTTATGTAGGATGGTCATTGTAATGTAACCTTGAGTTTACATGAAGTTAACTACTGGGCTTCCTAATGCTAATGGCGTTCAGCGTCCTATCTAAAATTGTAATTACAGCTTCATTTAAGCTGTTCCACTTTTAGTTGTAAGTGTCTATTCATCACGGTTATTTATACTTTGAGTCTTTGGTGCTACTGTTTGACGTGAACTTTCTGTTCACCTGCTTTCCGTTATCGGCCTTGTACTTATCGTTTGTGTTAGTGGGCGTTTTAATTTGCCCACAATGCTTACCACCGGTCTTTTTTATTGTGAAAAAAAAATCAAATGACTTCACGTGTGTAGCAGCATGCCTTGTAGCAGACTACTGGGATTCGAATTTACTTCCACTGTCGGATAAAATCACCTCTGAAACCCCAAACTTCGAGTAAGATGATGTAGATTTGTTAACTTCTATTGTAGCCCTCTGCATAATGGAAAAATCTTTAGGCACTGTGGTTGAGTTTAATTACATATTTGGTATGACGCACAGTGATACAGTATTATTTTTTAAATGACTTTTCAAGCACAATTTATTGTTCATACTCACACCAATATATTCACATAAATAGATTTTATTCCAAACGTCATCTGGTAAGTTATGCTATATCAAATAAATTCATCCAGTATGGAACACTTTGCCCAATGGATAAAGGTATGAAAAATGACTGGGAAACTTAGCCCATCTACTAGTTGTACAAAATCTGTGTATGTACATAGAATTTCTCTTGTTTTTCCCATGTTTGTGATAGCTGTCAATTAGGTAGGAGGGTTTTGAACAGTAGTTCCTCTAAAACAGCTCCAAAATTTCTGTTCCATGTGCTCGTTCAAACCTAGCTAGCAAAGATAACTTTGAGTGATTACTACCATTTGGTTTGTGCATCAACTTTCTCTGTGAAATTAAGTTGAAGCATGCTGACGATGTCGCTTTGAAATCACCACTTTGGCACAAGTTAAACAGTCACAGATGAATATTTGCGAAGTTATGAAAAATATTGATGAAGTTCTCCGGTTAAATGGCTCGAATATCAGTGTGAGTGATGACAGTTTTTTGCTTGTTGCAGCACGCTGTTTGCTTTAATAACTTTATGGACTTTTGTAGACTTCTGTCTTTCAGCTGATTGATTGTCTCCAGAAGAGTAACTTTGGTTTCTTACTGTACACTGATTGAACCTGACTCAGAGTGATTAATTTCTTTTTGGTCCTAATTTCACAATAGGGTTAGTTTTAGATAGATTAGGTCTACAGTCATTCGTATGAAAAATAAGCCCAAGAAATTTAATTTACTGCAAGGAAAGTTCACATTTTTCCTTTCGTCTGTATCAATAACCAGGTACTCATAGTAAAACGTGTTTGACTCACTATCATGATGTCATTTTGGTAGGGTGTAATCCCTCAAATTTTACGAGGCATAGCATTCACCCTATCTTAGACGTCTCGTCAAATTTGGATACAGCATCGAAATAAATTGATTGTTCATGGTTTTCTCTGAATCCGATAAGGTACTTTAGTTTTATTCTAGGTAAAGACGACAGTCAACCTTTTATTCAGTTAACATCATTTCCACTTTAGAAGAACCTAAACCATGTAATACTACGAAACTGAAGTAGGTCATTGATTTCAAAGGGCATTGCCACTTTTTCTGATCAGTTACGTGTCATCCATATGAACTATGGATCCACTTATTGATGACAGAATATGCGTAATAGTAATGGATCAGTAACTGCAAGTATACATTGAGCAAGGTTAAAATATTAATTCATATGAACGTTTACTGGTGTAGTTCCAACCTAAGGTGTCAATACTTTTGACAACTGTGCTGAGTTGTAAAATCGAAGCATTGACAGTTCACGGTACAAGAAAGAGATCCGTCCATTAGTTGTAACTCCAACTGTTAGCAATTATCAATAAATTGGGGGGAAGGCAGTACTCAACATATATGCGCTAAAGAAGTTTCATGAAATGCTGTATGTTTTGTACCTGATAATCATAGTCAACAACATAGTTACTTATAAGTTTATGATTTAGAAGTATTTCTGTTCGGATGAGTTTTTTTAGTTTGCTTTCTTTATATTTTTAACTCAACGAAACTGTTAAGTTTACTTTTGTGAGATACCTGAGGCATGACATCAGTGATATGTATAAAACTACTGGACAGAATCAACTTAGGACCTTGCACACAGGAGAATCGGTTCCAGTTCCCACACCTCACGGCAAAATACAAAGAACAAGTTGCCTGGGTAAAGAACGATATCAAATTAGGCAAAGGTATATAGGAGGAGAAGTGATTTAAAAATTATGGCGTATCAAAACACTTAAGCTTCAAAAGACGTTAAAGATTGAATGCATCTGCGCCGCTGTGACCGATTTTCAGCCATATCACCAAGAGTTCTCAACCACTGAATCCTGTCGTCTCGCAGATCCCAGCCAGGTTGTCTACATCTCTCATACTGCTCAGACCAACTGTCAGGGACTTCATCGACTGGTGCCAAGTATTGGTCTGGCCACCCTGAGCCTTCTCGCAGTCTAGTCCAACTTCCTTTTGCATTGCATGTCGAGATAGGTGATGGCTCGGCATGCGCAGTACGTGTCCAAACCACCTTAGTTGTTGAAGACTTGAAATCTCATCGGCCAACTTGCCTAGCCCCCTTCGTCTGACCTCAAAATTGCTCACACGGTGATCTCACTAAACTTGAGCAATGCTAAAAAGACAGGTGTGATCAAAACTTGTAGCCGCTTCATGTCTTGTACTTCTAATGGCCATTTCTCACAGCCGTATAACAGGACAGAATGACCCGCAACGCAGTGATTGATGTTTAAGTATCTCGTCAGTCAGCGCCACAGATCACGCAAGTTGGTAAGTACCAAATAGTCCTTTTTTATCCTAGCTGAGATTTCGTCAGCAATTAATCCGCTCGTGGTGATTCAACTTTCCAAGTAAGTGAAGTGGTTGACGCATTCCACCACTTCACTCCGTATATGCAGAGGTTTTCTACTGCTCTATAGTCCGACTTGTTACGAGGTCATTTGTGTTCGAAACCCGCGTTTCGCTATATGGCAACGAGGTTTTAGTGTGAAACGGTCAACGTTCTGCAACAAATCAACTTTTTAGACATCCGATAATAATTTATCTGAACATAAGTTACTTATTCCCGATTTTCATAGTATCGAACATCCATATTTATTAGCATCATGAATAATCCGTAATTTTAGTGGATTTCTGTAAACTTATAGCAATATAAATATTTCATCCCCGTTTAGTAGATTCATCGAAATCCCGAAGTATCATTTGCTTAAATATTTCACTAATAACTGATGTGGAATACATTTTTCTACATATAAATATTTAAAAACTTAACTTCGAACCTGTAACCTATATTATCTCTTTTCTCGCATGGTTTGGTTTAAAATGTATTATCTGATAAGCGTTTAATCGTTTTCCAATAGTCACAAGTAATAGTAGTATGATAAATCCGATCTTCGACGGGATTGTTGCTGCGTACTGCTGAGGTGTCTCATATTAGGATGAAATAGTCATCCAGTGCTCGCAGTTTTTTAATGGTTCTCCGAGTGATATCAATCCAAGATGAATACTACCTTAGAGATAAAATATGTTTTTTTTTATCTGATCAGAAGTTTATGTCTTGAAAAAAATAAGAATATTCTTGACATAATATGTACCCACTCATCTGTGTGTGTGTTTTGTATGATTTTGTTAGCCTTGTGTTTGATGGTATCTAACTGATTGAATCTTTGTAGGATAAGTGAAAATGTACTATTTCTCCCAAGATGATTTAATTATCATAACAGTGTGAACATTTATAAATCTAGTGAATAAATGTTATGACAGAAATCTTAAATTTGATGTGAATAACAGACAGAAAACGTATGAAATAAATATTTGCACACAGTTCTATAATAATATCAAAGTGAAAATAGAATGTTTAGATGATTGGTATGCATATGAAATGATCTTTAAGTCAACTGACCAGTTGATAAGCAGTGTCATACTGATGCATACATCGATTTAGATAATGCTAGCCTTGTAAACTGTATGTACATGATTACACTTAGATCAACTGTCTCTTTTTTTTTTTTCAAGACTTTCATTTGATTAGTACTTCTTGGAAAAATTAATGATTAAGAGATGATTCTACTTTCGATCACTAGACTGTATATGTTCAGATTAAACCCTACTTATCATGGTTTCAGAACTATTGATTCGCCTAGTGTGTACTCTTTCATCAAATATTATCATTCAGTTGGATCATCTTAAAAGTTTGGACTACGTGGGAAATAACTTTCTAGTGGTATTTGGTTAAAAAACAAACTGTATATTGACAAATTTAAGCGAATTTGAATGCCTACTAATTTCTCCTCAAAGCTGACTGCGTATGAATTGAATTAATTCTCCCTAAAACAGGTGTTTTGCTGAAAAAGTCTCTGATACAGTTTACTTTGTGTATTTTAGATTTATCTTTTATCCAGCTAACCTTTTGATATGTATAAACCAACTTCTGTTGAACTTATGCCTTG